GATGACGTGTGGGGGCTAAAGCAGGACCCACCTGAGGGAAGAAAGAGGAATCTGGGCAGTGCCCTCCAACAGTGACAGGTCTGAGATGTACCTAAGCTTTTCCCATGGATTCATCCCTTGATTTATCTGATGCTTCTTGATCACCCACTATGTCCCTACCTCTGTGTGCCACTTACTGCATACTGCCAGATCATCTCGGAAGGTGTAAAAAAAAATGCATTCCCTGCCCGCCAAGAACTTAGAGTGGTGAGGTCATCAAGTATATGTCTATATAGGCAAAGGCACAAGAAGGCACCGGGCACAGGACAGATGGAGAACTGGGCAAAGTGCATGGGAGCCCAGAGAGGGCACTTCAGTTTGCAGCAAGGCATAAGAGGTAGTGACACTTGACTCAGGTTGTGGAGACTGAGTAGGGTTTTCTCTGGAGTGGATGGAAGAAGTGTATTCCAGAGACAGGAGGCCCCAGCCATGGTACACCATCAGTGACCATTTTCTGGCTGCTCACTGTGGGGTGGGGGGTTGTGGACAGAGGACAAAACAGGGTCCTTGCCTGTGCACTTCTGTGTTCTGCGTTTTTGGGTTATAGTCTCATGGCTGTGTTGTGCACATTCCCAAACCCACTGCTAGACCCCATTGGTGTTGAAATGTGTCCTTGCTTTTGCATGGCCTCACTGCCTCTTAATACACTATTTCATACACTGTTGAGCAGGAGTACTCTGGCCTAGTGAGCAAGTCCCCCCCCCCCCACCCCCCGAGTAAAGATATGGGATGCATTGAAGGAGGGGCCTGGTTATCTCGCAGAAGCCAATTTCTCTTCATCTCGTTGTGCTCTGTGTTCTGGAGCTGGTGCTGATGAGTTTGAGATGAGAAGAGGGTGTCCGCTTCCAGGCCCAGAGGTTTGACAATGTGTTAATCTCTCTGTTCTGGAAAAGTGGGAAAGTGAAGCTGTTCTGATTCTTTTTCTGGTGTTTCCAGTTCAGCCCCCTTTGTTAGTAGAGAATTTCTTTGTTAATTATCAGAGGCCCTTCTTGACAGCAAGAGGAGAGCAAAGGGTTCCTCCAGACATTGGGCAATTATAAGTATTTTGGATGAGTGATCAGGAGGAAGGACCGTACTATTACCCAGCTCCAGACAGACTCATAGCTGAGCTCAGTAACCTGGCAGCCATGCTGGGAACCACAGATGGATGACAGTTAGCCCTGGGCCTTCTCCAATACCCATGACTGGCTGATGGTGCCTCCCAGGCCACAGATGACTCTGTCCCATGCTGCCTCCTTGTGCACTCATGTCCAGCTCCCTGGTTCAGGCCTTCAGTGCAGAGCCAACACTGTGAGGCTGACAGTAACAATGCTGTTGGTCAGTGCTGGTCATGGTGGATGAGGCAGCCAGGCAGAGGTGGGTGGGGCAGGGTTCTTTGCGGGGATGAGGGTTCAGGGAAGCAGAGGTTGCTGGTACCATGTGGGTACCTGCCCACATGGAGCATAGGGGCTGCTGTGTGGACAGTGAGTGGACAGAGCCGAGTGCCATGCCCTGCAGCTTTCTGCATGGCCTGTAGACACACTGAGAGTGGCTTTGGAGTGCATTTTCAGATTGGGTAGTGCTGTGGACATAATGTGGATCATCTCATCCTTGTAGAGAGGTTGAATGAAGAGAAAGGAAGCAGATTGTCTTTTACATTAGGGCCATATGGAGGGTCCCTTGGCATCTGTTTTCCTGAATTCTTTCTCTAGAGGCAGCACATTGAAGCATAGAAGCTGATGTTTTAAGACTTTTCAAAAAAGTTCTTCCAAACAAAGGTCATTTCAAACACTAGGCCCAGTGTTCTCCCCACCCCTTTTCCTAGTGACTGTGAGTGACAGACAAGCTCCCAACCCCCATCTTCCTCCCTCCTCTGCCCCCTGCTGCAGCACAGCAGCTGGAAGCAGGGTTTGGGAAATTTGGAGGCAGAACAAACTAGTTTAAGTTACATATTGGGTAAGTGCATACTTCAAATTACCACTTTCTCCTTGAAATTTGTGGCACTCATCTGTCTCTACCATTCACTCAGTCCTGTCATGTAGTTAATGCGGTTACCTCTGTTTCTAATGCTGCTTTGTGTTTTTTTTTTTCTAAGATTTTATTTTTTTTAATCTCTACACCCAACGTGGGGCTCCGACTCACAACCCCAAGATCAAGAGTCACACACTCCACTGACTGAGCCAGCTAGGTACCCCTGCCATGTGTTCTTATTTAAGTATTCAACGTGACTTAACTTTTGTAAAAATTTGATATATATATATATACAATGGACGCTGTTCAAGGAGGAAAGTCAGCAGTTCCTTTAACACAACATGTTAAGGAGCAGCATTTCTCTTCCTTTGGTGAAAGTTGCTTGCTGTTGTTCAAATATAAAGCATTTTTATACTTGAACTCTCTAATGATAGATCCTGGAAAACCTCCTGGAGGAGGTACCTGAATTATGAGTCAGAAACAAGCTGAATAAGGAAGGCTCTGCTCAAGGACATGCCAGTCCTCCCTGCTCTGCCAATTAGCTAACAGATATCCCTGCAGTCTGGGAGGATCCCAAACAGTATGAGCCTTGAGACAAATCAAGAAAAAGACCCACTACTGGCTGTTAGAAAAAAGATGAGCCCCTGGGTGTGGATAAGTCCTATGAGAACTGGCAGGAGACTCCCTTAGAGGAAGAGGGAAAAATGTAGGCACCTTCCCAGGGTAAAACTTTCCTGAAAACCTCCTACTTAGGGCAGAAGGAAGTGGGTTGAGCTTGCCTTACAGGAGCTGGGCCTATCCTAGCTAGGGCCAGGATAGGTCCTGAAGAGGCTTTGGAGCATAACGTCAGTGCTACTCACAGAAAATATGAACTGGGGCCATCTACCGGGAGAATCCCTCCAAAGGTAGAGCAGTGCTGAACTGAAGGCAGAATCTCAGGAAAACAGAATTTTAGAGTGGAAAGGACCCTCTGGGCTCTGTAACCATCAAGTCACAATGAGGAAACTAAGGCAAAAGAAGTAAAATGACTTCCCCAAATAGATTAGAGGCAGAGCTAGGATTAGAGTCATTCCTCTGTTCACACCTTTAATCACAAACATATGTAGAGCCCCTATTGGGGGCGGGTACGGTTCTAGGCCCTGGATCCAGGTTTACTGACTCAGACACCAGTGCTCTTCCAGTCACCAGGCCTCCTGCCTTGATCTAAATCTGAAAAGTGTGTCTGGCTTTGGACTTAGGTGAAGTTGGGCCCACAGATTCCAGAGATGAAAAACCAAGCTCACTCCCAGATCTGAAAGAAGATGATAAGGAAGGAGTAGCACGACTAGTTCTACTGATTAAATTACCAGATACAAGTACAACTTAGCATTGGAAAAGTTTCTGATTCTATATTTGTGTTGACCTTTACCCTAGATGGTTACTTGGAATACAAACTTTAAAATGGAAATTTTTTTTTGTATTTGTTTTGAATACATCAAGATTAGAGACAAGTGGGGCACCTGGGAGGCTCAGTTTGTTGAGCATCCAACTCTTGATTTTGGCTCAGGTCATGATCCCAGGGTTGTGGGATCAAGCCCTGTGTCAGGCTATGCACTGAGCATGGAGCCTGCTTGGGATTCTCTCTTGCTCTCCCAATGTCCCTCTCCCCAGCTCTCTCTCTCTTTCTCAAAAAAAAAAAAAAAATGATTAGGGAGGAGTTAGGAATGGGTAGAGGGAAGAGTCAGGCTGTGGAAGGAGAGGAACCATTATGAAAAGAAGGCCCGTGTGAGCAGGAAAAGGGAGATTTGCCGAATGCCAGGCCCCTGCACACACAGGGTTAGGACTCAAAGTAGTTCTCTAGTTCTATCTGGCAGAAGACAATCCCTGTCCCTCTAGGTACAACATGAGTTCCTGGAATTTCTGCTTAAGACATTCCCCATTTCAGGAGCACCTGAGTGGCTCAGTCGGTTGAGCATCCGTCCAACTTTGGTTCAGGTCATGATCTCGCGGTTCGTGAGTTAGAGCCCCGTGTTAGGCTCTGTGCTGAAAGCTCAGAGCCTGGAGCCTGCTTCGGATTCTGTGTCTCCCTCTCTCTCTGACCCTCCCCTGCTCACACTCTGTCTTTCTCTAGCTCTCAAAAATGAATAAATGTTAAAAAAAAATTAAAAAAAAGACATGCCCCATTTCAGAAGCTTCTGATGTCCTTGGGAAAGAACAGCCAAGTGAAGAAATGTCTTGGCTTTACTACCACAGGCCTGGGAATCCTCACCTGTGCTAATGATAGCAATTGCTCATGTTTACATACTGCTTTAGACTCTTGGCAGTGTTTATCTAACTAATCACTCTGTGAGATAGTTAAGGTGGGTGTTATTATTCCCATTTTGCAGATGAGGCAACTGCACTTCCAGGAAATTAATGGGTTTGCCTAGATCACAGAATTAATCTATAGGAGAGCCAGGGTTGGGACAGCCCTGGTGATCTGAATCCAAGTCTGTCATTTTCCCTACCATGCTCTCTTGCTTTACCTAAAGGTGGGGAAGGAGTCCAGGTTTAAGCCTGTTTGGGGATAGATCCACATCAAGACCATCATGCCTGGTCTCTGGAGTTGCATACAGATGGTAGGTGGGGCCATTCCAATGTGATTTTATTTCTTTGGCCCAGTGGTTTCACTAGGTGGTTCAGGAAGCATGGAGATTGCCCTGGGTTCTGTTGACCTAGTCTCCACTTGTTCAAGTTTTCTTTATCACAAAGAATATCCATTAGCCATAACAGTACAGTTTTCATAATGGGGAAATTGCTAGAGAAAGAAAACATAAGTTACAACTTCACTAAGTGTTCTTGGTACCTTTAATCTCAGTGAGTTTCCAATGAGTCTTGGTCATTCTGTATCTTCTTGGGTAGTCTCTGTGCCTGCAGGGTTAAAAAATATAGGTGGCAAAATGTGGGTGGGCCCTGGTCACGTGTTTTCTGAGGGGGTTCTGTCTGCCTGGTGCATGAGCGCATGAGTGACTGTGTCTGGTCTTCCCTTTTAGAGCTGCCAACTTCAGGAACTTTACCTTCATCCAACTGAATGGAGAGTTTTCTCGAGGAAAGGGACTTGATGTTGGAGCCCGCTTCTGGAAAGGAAGCAACGTCCTTCTCTTTTTCTGTGACGTTGATATCTACTTCACCTCCGAATTCCTCAATACATGCAGGCTGAACACACAGCCAGGTATGGGGATCTGGAGTTGGCTCTTCCCTTTCTCTCCCCCAGGGTGGCCTTCAGCTCTGTCACACACTCATTCTCTTCATGGTTTGCTCTGATGTCCTGCTTCTGAATTGGCCTGATTTTACCCAATGACCAAGAAAAAGCAAAATCATCTGGTTTAATTTCTCCTTTATGTCATGGTGTGGGCCTGTCAGCTGCCATAATTCTGGGACTCTTTGGCCTAGGTTCAAGTCTAAAACTCATTTACCATTTTCAGCTAAGAGGTTGGCCTGAGTGAACACCCACGGGAGAAAGTGCTGGGGGTTTGGGGGAGACATGGACTGGAAAGCTGCCTGACACTAAAGGGAAAGGCATAGCTGTGGGCAGTTCCCAAGGGAGCAAGGGCTCTGAGTGGGAAGAACCCACAATATGAAAATGATTTTCATAGAGTTTGACTCATAGCAAGGGCTGATATTCAGCTGATAACTACTGTTAAAATATTGAAACTCTTCTGTGGAAACTGGTAAAGAGCAAGTGCCTGGGGTCCCTATATCTACTCCTGCTGCCTAAAGTCACCATGACCCCTCTGGCAACCCTTTAGACTTCCCACAGACCAGCAGTTAAAGGGTTAATGTCTGGAAGGGCAGGGAGTACCAGAACTCTCTTTCACACTCACTCCTGTTGGTTGATACCCAGTGCCACAGCCACCAACTGTCAGTATTTTGGGTTTTTTTTTTGTTTGCTTCTATTTTTTATTTTAGAGAGAGGGAGTGAGCCGAGCACATGTGTAAGCAGGGGAGAAACAGAGAGGGAGAGAGAGGTCCCAAGCAGTCTCCACACTCAGTGCAGAGCCCAACATGGGACTTGATCCCACAACCCGGGATCATGACCTGAGCTGAAATCAAGAGTTAGATGCTCAACTGATTTAGCCACCCAGGCACCCAAGGACTGTCAGTATTTTGAATACCACTTCTTTGCTAGGAGGTCAGAGATATTTGAGAGTCTGTCCCTCTGATCTACCTGTGCAGAACTCCTAAGATCTGTTTTAGGGTTGAGTGATAAGAAAGGAAAAGTGGATGCAAATATCTGGGACATTTCAGAGGACTGAATATAAGTGTACTAACCTAATAGTGTTGTCTGTTGCTTTAAGTGAATGTTTTCTGGTTTGCAGGGAAGAAGGTATTTTATCCAGTCCTTTTTAGTCAGTACAATCCTGGCATAATATATGGCCATCATGATGCGGTCCCTCCCCTAGAACAGCAGCTGGTGAGTAATTACCCTGCAGGTGCCTTTGTGTGGCTCTGTTTCATGTCTTTCATTACCAGGGGCACCTGACCATGAGTAAAGGTGAGTGGAAATCTGTGGACTGATTCCCATAGTAATTTTTAAGTTTGTCAAGACGTTCTGGCCTTTGCTCCCAGCGCCTTGTTGATTAAAAGTGCTTGCAATATTTAAAAGTGGAAAATAAATAGGAACAGTACCTTACAGAAAGGTAATTTCACACCTTCATAGTTTTCTTATATCATTTTTGGAAACTACTATTATTGCATTATGGATGCAACAAGCACATTTTCTCTTTATTATTACAAACTATATGAGGTAAGAAGGGTGAGATTTATGGTCCCATTTGACAGATGGAAAAGAGAAGTCAGAAAGGGTGGCTCACTCCAGGTCACACAGTGAGTGAGTCAGTGGGGGCATAAGGACAGATCCAGGGCCCTTCCCATCACACTATCATTGTCACAAACCACAGGGCCTTGGGTCCAGGGTAGCAGCAGAGGCATCACCAGCAAGGTAGCTTTTTTTTTTTTAATGTTTATTTATTTTTAAGAGAGAGAGAGAGAGAAAGAGGAAGAGGGACAGAGAGAGAGAGGGAGACAACAGAATCTGAAGCAGGCTCCAGGCTCTGAGCTGTCAGCACAGAGCCCGATGCGGGCTTGAACTCATGAACTACGAGATCATGACCTGAACTGAAGTCAGACACTTAACTGACTGAGCCACCCAGGTGCCCCACAAGGTGGTTTCTAAAGGAACGTTGGAGGGACTTCTCTGCTAAGGTCTTGGCTGCACGGATGATAGATAGTGGAGCCACACAGCCACCAAGGATCTCTGTACACCTAGTGGTCTTGGTGGTGGTGGTGTTGGCAGTTAGTCCATTCAGCAGAAAAGCTGTGCAGGCAGGAGGAAGATGACCCCAGAAGAGGGTCTCTGTCATGCACATAGGCATACCCTATGCCCTTCTGAGACAAAATTCCTCAGGATTATTGTCATCTCAAGCGTGAACTGTTACCTTTTCCTGCAGAGAGATCAGCTGAGTTTGTCTACAGCTGTTTCCAGCTCGGGCTGAATATCGGGGGCATCTGACCTGGGGCTGTCTCTTGTTCCTCGCTTTGAGTAGCTCTGTCTCCTCTTGAGGGAAAGCCATTGCTTCTGTGCAATGGGAGAGTAATCAGTTTTCATTGAAAGTTCTTTGAAATTCTTGTGGAGGACTGATTCTGTCTTTAAGCTTCCAGAAATAGCAAAACCTGTTCATTCTCCTGTTAATCCTCCGATTAACCTCTGGCAGCTCATTTAGGATCTTTTCCAGAAGGTTTCAGCCTGGTCCCCTGAGGTTGGACGAGGTTTGCTCCTCACCAATCCTAGCATGGTTTCCCTTTGGGCCCAAGCTGGTAATGGTAATGACCAAGTATGGTAATGAGTTATCTCTCCCCTCAGTGAAATTCTAATACCACAGATATATACTGAATATCTGTTTATGTATCTGTAATTTATATACACAAATATGACACGTATTTAGTATATGTGTGCTGCATATACTAAACACAGTATATGTCAACAGAGTAAGAGTTTTTCACTCCCCAAGAACCAGTTTTTATCTACTTTAGGGTGATATCACTTCTGTGGAGACACAAAAGTTTTTTGTTTCCTTTCCATGAGTTCTCTGTTTCTAATAGGGTTTGGGAGTTGGGGGAAAGGGATACAATAAGCCTCCTTGGTTAAATAAAGTACTTAGTACTTCCTTGCATTTGACATCAGATGTGATTAATTTTTCAACTTCATATTCATAAGATCTTATTTGCTTGCAAGGAATTCTTTTCATTTCACACTTTAAAAGTTTTATCCTTTTATTACCATTCCTGCAGGGAAGCAGATGCAAAGGGGAGCTAGAGGTATGATGTAGTTAAGCCAGTTTCTCAGATCTCTAGAATTAATGGTCAAGCAGAAACAGAACTCAGATCGCTGCATCCATAGCTCGAGCCTCTGAATTATCCTGCAAATGCAGGATATTTGACATTTATTTCCAAATGCACCTTAGAGCTATCCTGGAGCATGCAAATCTGATTATGTTAGGGTTCAGTGTTCATGATGATTTAGTCTAGAGAAACATAGCAGTTGTCTCTGAGACACTGGGGGTTCTCCATCCAAAAAGGATGTGTTGATTATGTTTGTTATTAGATGAGCCATGTATTGAGCACTTGCCGCCTACAGAGAACTAGACTAGACATTCTGGAGGAGTCAGAAGAACTGAAACAGTTTCTTATGCTCAGAAGTGATTGGGGAGGTCACTTTGCTCACCCTCTTGTTTTGTTTTTATAGACTGGCCCAAGATCACACAACCAGCTAGTAGCAGAACTCAGGCCAAAAGCAGGATTTCCTTACCCCAGTGCAATGGAAGCAGATTTGCTAGGATCTTGATGAGGGCTGAAATATAAAGGAAATGATCTGACAAAAATTCCAAAGGAGAACATAAAGCTACAGAAATTAATTTAATGGAGACAGAATGTGTAGGTGCTGAGAAGGTATAAAATAAAAAGAGATGATTAGAGATGGTAAGTTAGGAAAGACTTCCTACCAAGGGTTCATTTCGGCTCATTCATGAAAGATACAGGATATAGATACAGATATAGACATAGATATAGATATAGATATAGATATAGATATAGATATAGATATAGATATAGATATAGATATAGATATAGACAAGATAGAGATACAGGTAGAGATAGAGATAGAGATAGAGATAGAGATAGAGATAGAGATAGAGATAGAGATACTCTTGAGAGCCACCCCTGGAATACATCAGTATCAAGGTGAAGGGAGAATACAGATCCAGAATGTAGCTGTAACAAAAATTACCGACGGATGCAAACACAAGACAAATTTTCAGAGCAGCCCTGCAAATGTGACCTTGTTAGTGCCTGTGCTAGTCATTGCTTCTCAGGCCATTGCCACTGCTGTTTGATAACACTGTCTTCAGACTAAAGCCAGAAGCTACATTTATGATTTGTGTGTGTATATGTGTTCAGACTACTTATTTCTTTACTTTTGAGTACAAGCCATTAATGATAAAAAATATGCAAAATGATGGAATTTTATGCTAACATTTAATTTCTTGAGTTTTAAACCTGAGATAAAACTTGCTGATGCTTTAATGTAGAAACAGCTCAGAGAGAAAGGAATGACTGTCATTTAAATAATTACTAACTTTAGACATTCCACTCTCTTGGCTCAAGCCTTGTACCTGCTGGGGCCACTGCCGGAATCTTCTACCTCTTCTGTCTGTAGACCTTTTCCCTCTCCTATAATCTGGTCTTTCCTTTACCCCCTGCCAGAGATACGTTTCCAAAACACAGATTAATCTCATTTTAAATAATCTTTTATGGCACAGAGCCAGTGGTGTGCTAGTAAATGTTTAACAACCCACACTCTGAAAAGGTGGGGGAGAGAAAAGCCCTGATTCATAGCATTTGCCACTTTCCATGGTGTCAGTACTCCCACTGTGGCCTATTTCAGGCCCCCAGAGTGATGTCACTGAACACCTAGGCGGGAAGAGACTTGTGCAGTCCTGGTGAGCTGGTACTGGCCAGCTGCGGCACCACACTGCCAGCCTCGATTCCTTTGTGGGATTAACTGCTCTCCACAAACTGACTCTGAAACTGGTTACAGAGGAAATGTCTGCAAACCCCAGCACCCGGCACATGGTACCAGCTTGGTAGACACCCAGGCCGGCTGCTCTGCCAGGCAAGCATACCCACCCTGTGTGCCGGCCTCCCCCCTCGGGGCCATCTCCTCACCATCTCTGCTGCCTGCGGTGCCTGACATCTCAGTCCACCGTGCATCCCACCCATCATTTAAATCCAGTGGCTTTGTGCTCCTCTGTCCAGCGTGTGAATGTTTTAATGGCTCCTGTCCTTGCCCTCTTGGATTATATACCCTTACCTGTCTCTACCCACTTCCAAGAAGTATTTCACCACTAACCTGCATTTTGGTTTAAATTTCTAAAAATTGCTGACTGGGCATAGTCCATCCTTTTGGTCTGCTTTTAAATATTTGGAAAGCAGACACTCACTGAGTTCCAAAAGTAGTGTTAACAGGTGCCGTACTCAAGCCTTTTGGAACCCAGCACTGTGCCTGCTTTATTTTGGGGAATCTCAGTAAGATGATGAGCTATTATTATGCTCATTTCACAGCTGAAAATTTGAAGCTTAGAGAATAAGTCACTTGCTCAGATTGCTAAGTGGCAGGGCTGGGAACTCAGATCCTGCCCCGTATGATGGAGACTTGGCTAAGGATACTGGGTGGTAGGGGATGTGTCCTGTGGCCTCAGAGTGCTTCCATGAGAGCATAGAGTTGAGCTTTAGGTGCTGGATTCCTGGAATAGGGAACCTGGACGATTCCTGGTCCAATATGACACCCTTCAGAAGACACTTTATCTTTAAAAAAAATTTTTGTTTAATGTTTATTTTGATGAGAGAGAGAGAGAGAAAGAAAGAGAGAGCACAAGTGGGGGAGGGGCAAAGGGAGAGGGAGGCACAGAATCCAAAGCATCCTCCAGGCTCTGAGCTGCAGCAGCACAGAGCCCAGTGCGGGGCTCAAACCCACAGACCGTGAGATCATGACCTGAGCAGAAGTCGGATGCTTAACTGACTGAGCCACCAGGCACCCTGACACTTTATTTTTTTTTTTAAGCAGATACCAATAAAAGAAGACTTGTAGAAAAATGTGGGTTAGTACAGACCTTGGAGGAGGTGGCTTTTGAGTCCATTCTTAAACCAATTCTATGACAGCTGTGCCTCCAGAATATCTTCTCAAGAAATGGAAACTGTCACAGCAATCATGGTGTTGGTTTGGGCTCAGCCATAAGTGGCCGAGTTCTCCTGGGCAGGTCACTCTGCTTCCGTGCTACAAGGCACACGCAGCCTCCCTCAGGACCCTGATAATAAGGAAGGTACAGGGTGGGGTCATGGAGTGCCCAGCCCAGCTACCAAAGTCCCTGAAGCTCAGCATGTGTGCCGCTCACAGGCAGGGCTGACCACATAATTGGCATGGCCCAGTGCACAGTGAAAAATGCAGGGCCCTTTAAGAATTAAGAATTTGAAGCGCATGAAACCAGGCAGGGAGCCCTCTAAGCGCGGGGCCTGGGGACTGCACGGGTCACATCCCACTGGCGTTTGTGAATGTGAGGCTGGGCGAACGCAACCTCGGTTCTTGGGAGGCTCTCTTTGATTTAGAGGAAATACTCTGCCTGAGTATTTGTTATTTATTTTATTTCAGGGCCCAGATTGCTTCACGGGCAGTTGTCCAAGTCAGCACCATTAAAGCAACAGGCGCTGCCTCCCCGGCTCCCCGCGCAGCTGCAGGGCGGCCGCCTTCCCACATCTTTGGGGAGAGACGCTGATTTGTGCTTTGTGTTTTGGTCCTAATAGAAAATAATCACCCCCGTCACGTGAATCGCCCACAGAGCTTTGGGTCTGGAAACTTCCTGTGGGAGAGCGGGCTCCACAACTGTCCTTTTGTGGCGTGTGCATGTCCTGCAGTGCTCTGCCGAGATCTAAGGTGGGGAGAGAAAGGGTGCTGCAGAGAATTGAGAGGAAGCCAGCTCTTGAAAGACATTTTTTAAAAATGAGGATAGCACTTGAAAACGGAGCGGCGAAATTCAGGACAGGAGATGTTTTTCTTTTAACGTATAATCTTAGGGTTTCTTCCTCCTCTGTTGTAGTAAACATCATTGGTGTGTATCTTTTCAAAGCTTGAACAGAGCAGTGGAGCTCCTGAGGCCTGGGGCAGAGATTCTAAGAAGTAGAGCCCTCTGAACTGAGAACAAACTGAGGGTTGATGGGGGGTGGGAGGGAGGGGAGGGTGGGTGATGGGTATTGAGGAGGGCACCTTTTGGGATGAGCACTGGGTGTTGTATGGAAACCAATTTGACAATAAATTTCATATATTGAAAAAAAAATAAAGTATCAGGGATGACTTAAATAATAAAACATGACCTAGCATGAAAAAAAAAAAAAAAAAAAAAAAAAAAAAGAAGAAGTAGGGCCCTCTGCTCAGTCCCCAGGAAGGTGAAAACGTATTTGTCTGTTGTCTGAGATTTTTCGCCCTGGAGTTCCTAGGCCTTCTCCGAGCCACTCACGAATTCCCTAGTTGAACTATGTCTGTTTCCACTGCCCCAGGACTGCTCTTCATTCTTTCATTGGAGAAGCACTTATTGAGCACCTGCTGTTTGCTGGATAGTGATCTGGGTGCTGTGAAGGAGACCAAGGCCCTGGGCAGACATTCACCAGTGGTCATAGGGGAAGACAGAACAGAGAAACAGATGCATCAACAGGATAATTTCAGAGAGCCATAAGTGTTGTAGAGAAAGTAAACCAGGCGATGGGACAGAGAGTGACATGTTGGTGTGGGGGGTGGTGCTGACACAGGCTGGGAGGGTGAGGATGACTGCTCTAGGCAAGTGACATTGGAGCTCAGTGGTGAGCAGGAAAAAGGTGACCTAGATAGGGAGTCTGCAAGTGTCCAGCCTTAGAGACCTGTGAGCCTGGTATGTTCAAGGGCAGAATAGAATGAGACACTGTAGGAGGGGATATGAGATGGGTGAGGCAGGCCAGGGTTGGGTCACATAGGACCTTTGCAGGCTAGAGGTTTTCTCTGGGTTTTATTCTAATTGCATTAGAGAGAATGCAATTAAAGCCCCTGCAGGGTTTTAAATTAGAATGAGCTGTGATCTGATGCATGTTTGAGAGTACTCACTCACAGCTAGGTTGCTCGTTGAGGGCACTAGTCCAATGACTTGTCACAGCTGTGGATGGTAGAGCCTGTCATACGTGAACTCCATCTTGCTCTGACATTATATGCTAAGGGTATGGATCAGATCAGTTTCCACCAAGGGCTAAATTTCAATGAGCATATCAGATAGTGGCTTTCCCTGGCTTGCCAACTTTAAAGCTGGCATCTATAAGTGTTTATAAGGTGCATTCCCCAGCTCACAAATCAGTTTGACTCTGTCACATTGTCCCCAGGTGAGGGTCACTCTTTACCTTGTTCAACCTTGCTGGGCACTGCATCACAGCTCAGGTCTGAGCCCTGGCCCATTGTTCTTCCTGTTTGGAGCTTTCTCTTTTAGATTCCATACAGACCTCAGCCAAATGGTTGAAGTTTGGATACTGGCACTTCTCTTTGACTCCATTTTTACCTAGAAGCTTAGAGGACTGTCTGTGTCCTGACCAGCAGAAAAGACATTAAGCCATTAGCTGCAACAGAAACCATGTACCTGGTATGAAACAGAAACATTTTTAAAAAATGACTCAGTGGAGATTTTTCCAAACTTTCCTGCCCTGCAAAATCTTTCCAGTTGATACTAATGAAATTGTCTTGTCACTTGGGAGATATTGTATAACAGGCCTTTGTTCTGCAGAAGAATTGGAGCACATCTGCTGGGCCACTAATGGACAAAACCTCTCTTGGTCCTTATTTCCTTTCAGTAGCCCTGATGCGTGTGTGTTCACTCTGTGCAGGCAACATCTATGTGTAGGTTGTAATGAAAATAAGGTGCTTCCATGGGTTACAGAGTAGAGAAATGTTTAAGTTCACAGCCCTTCCACAAACCATTTGTGGAATGTAATTGAGGCTGTAGTGGCGACAACATGAAACTTCAGGAAGGTGAAAAAGCAGTGAGGATGCATGTTTGGATAGCAGACCTGGAAAAGACCTTAGCCTCGATTTAGCTCAACTTCCTCATTTATAGGAAAGGAAATAGAAGCTCAAAGAAGTGAGGGACCTGCCTGAGGCAAAAAAGCCAGCCAGTGGTCAAGTTGGGAGGAGATGCTGGTGCTCCTCCCAGCCTACACCCGGCTCTGATTAGCAGTGAACAGAGCCAGACCTCGCAGGCAGGAAAATGCAGAAATCCCAGTGGATGGGGAAGGGGCAGCCTCCTTCCCCTTCCCCTTCCCCAGAAGGGCACTTTCTCCACTAAGCACCTATGCTGACCTCAAGAATGAATCATAGAAAAGAGCTATTAAGGTGTCAGACTTAGTCCCAGAGTGATTTCAGCCAAACAATTACAGTGTTTTAAAAGCCTTGGTGCTTTAGCAAATGCATTGGAAATTTACTTGCCGAGTAAGAGACTGAGGAGGACCAGGTCTCGCTGTTTGAAGACAGTCACTGCTTGGATGGTCTCTCGGCAGCCCTGCAGCTTGCCACCACCACAGATGCTTTGGGGAACAGTTTGGTTTTAAAACAGTTTAAAGATGAATGGACAGAGTCTTTCTTCAGAACCTGGACTCTTGGCGCCCTTTACCTCAGCAAGTGAGACTTAGCAGAGCCGGAGTAACACGCTGCCTTCTCAGGTTTTCTTTTTATTCCCCGAGGGAGTCCTGTTTGTGCCCTGTGCCAGGGCAGCTGAATTCTGAGTTGTTCTCGATCCCTTTTCTCCACTTCCTGAGCCCTTTGCTGGCTCCCTGCCCAGCCGTATGCGAGGGGCCGAGGCCTCCAATTCTCTCTGGCACTGGTGTTGGGCCAGACACGTAGGTGGCTTTTCCATGGCGCTGCTCAAAAACTTGCTCTCCTGGTTTGTTTTTGAGTGTGTGTGTGTGTGTGTGTGTGTGTGTGTGCGCGCGCGCGCCTGTGTGTTTTCATGCCTACACCCTAGAAACATTCCAACCAGAGGTGCCAAAAATCACAAGGCCCATTTTGGAACTGGTGAGTTCACTGTATTCCTACCCTCTGAAAGGACTCAAATCCATCTGCATTTCCCACACGGGGTTGTGGTTGTGGCTACTGATCAGTGGTGGGATGGGCTCCCTATTGAGCATTGCTTACACAAGTTTGTGAATCCTCTCTATTTTTATCTACTCTATCCTCCCCTCTGAAATGACAGCGCTTTCCCTGCAGGTCATAAAGAAGGAGACTGGATTTTGGAGAGACTTTGGATTTGGGATGACCTGCCAGTATCGGTCAGACTTCCTCAATATAGGTAAGACCAGGCAAAGGGCCGTGAGTCCGCGCCTCTGCTGCCACCAAGAGGCCGTGAGAGGCCACGAGGAAGTCAGGGCAGGTTCCCAGGAGTCTGATGACAAAGGTGGTGCCATTTCCTAGGAAATGCCCTTCCTCTCATCATGGACTGAGGCGCTGGACCAGGACAGGGCTTGGGAGTGTGCAACACATGAGCCCCTATAATCTCCATCAGCCCCTCTCAGTCACCCCAGTTGCAGCACACAATCTCAGGGAAAAGGCAGTTGTTGCAAAAAGGCAGCTTCAAGGCAGGTCCCCCCGCAGTATCTCCTTCCAACCTAGTTCTGGCTGTAGTCCCTCTCATGCAGAACTTTCTGGGCCTCCATAGTAGCAGGGGCCACTGAAAAAAATAAGGGCAACATGAGAAATTTTGGAAAATCACATACCAGAAAATATCCAAATTTCTCTCTGCTGAACTTGCAAAAATTCCAAATGCTACTTCAAGCTCTGAGTGTACAGTCACCATCAACACATACATGCGTGTGTGCACATACACACACACACACACACACACACACACACACTCCCAGAGCACCAAGAGGAAAGGCCCTTAGATTGCAGTTGAGGAGACCAAAAGGCAAAGGGTCTGCAGCAAGTGAGGGACATAGGATGAGAACAGAGCATCTCCTGTCCTCCTTGGAAATGCCACTCCCCTCCCCATAGTGGTACCTACTCATGTGCCTCGAAACAGAATTGTGGATTATACATGACTAGGGTATGAATGAACAGGCCCGAAACCTTGATCTTGGGCTCAGGGGCTCAGGGCAGACCCCAAGCTTGGATAGAGTCAGGGAGGCCCTGCAGAGCATGGAGACTTCTATCCCTCCACCTCCCTGTGGGCCTCCCAGAGTCTGCTCCTCTTGCTCTCTCCTGGTGATTCCTGTTCACACCCGAGGCCTAACGTGTCTCTTTTTAAGATCAGTGACTCAATCTGAGCAGCCCCAGGTTTTTGTCCAGAGGGGGGTAGAGTTCAGAGACTATAGAACCCCTATAAAAAGAAAGAAAGAAACAACTTGAAGCTAAAGAAGCAGCAGAGCACCCAGGACGTTGGTCTCTGAGTGGCTGGGTGCTCCCACATACCGGCAACTAACCATAGGTGTTCTTTGATTTCTCTAAGAAATATTTCTAAATGATTATGTGCAAATCAGATTTCTAAAAATGACTAAAATTTTTTCTAAAGCAGATTTCCATTTCGAGAAACTCTGTTTCCTTGTTCTGTGTACAGGGAAGGATTTTTTTTTTTTTGATGGTGTATGTTTATCCAATTTGAATTTAGAATAAGTTGGATTTTCCTAAAGATGGGGCATAGCTGCAGTTGAAACGTGTGGGGACAGTTGGCTGGTGAGGGTGCTTTTCCTCAGTAAGCCGTGGCCATGACCTAAGAATCTCTGGGTCACATCTGGACCCAGGTAATTCTTTGCAATCTTGTATTTATTTGTAAGCATCTTAACTTTTGCACCTTCTATTTAATAAGTTGTGATGATACCGATGGTAATAAATCAATTACAGATAACCAAGCACTGCCCCTTACATTACTATCTCATTTGGTTATGACATCTAGTTCATTTCAGGATAAAGAAACCAAAACTCAAGAGAGGTGAAGTGGCCAAACCAAGACTCAAATTCTAGACGCCTGACTCAGTATCGTACACTGGCCCACCAGTGGGGTACCACGAATCACTCGTGTACATAGCCCAGCCCTGGTTGGGATGCAGTTTTCCTGTGCGGGAGCCCCTACCCCAGGCCCAGCGATGGCCTTGATCAGAGCAATGCAGCCTGGGGGCTACAGAGGGTAAAGGGACTACATGATACCTCTGATGAAAGGTGTTGAGGATGACTTTACTCCTTCTTGTACGAATTAAATAAATCTCCTAGGCGAGAAAGGAACAGTGACAAAAAACACAAGTCTTCTCTGGTTCTGTTTGGTTTGCAGTGGGCTTTAGGTTAAGAAAAGACATGGGGCATCTCAGTTTATAAAGGTGAGACTTTAAGGGACCATTACTCTGTGAAGGCGTCCACCATGGAGTGAAACCACATTTTTTGAGTAGAACTTCAGAACTGGGAGGCCAGTCCCTTAAACATGCCTCACTTCACCGGCCTGTGATGGACACACAGCTTTTGGGACCACTTTAGTGTATGAAAGGCAGAGTATTTTGTGGGATGTAGTTTTTTTCATGCTGAGATCCCATTACTCTTTCAGGCTGCAAGCCCCTGCTTCACTTTGTTTGAATGACAGGAGGCCACATTCAAACAGAAACAAGTTTCCATTTGAAGGTTTTAAGCTGAAAAGTCTTAATATGGGGCTCAGGCCAACATTAGCACTGCTGATGGCTCTCGGAAGCAGGCAGGTGCTGGGGCTTCTCTTTGCAGTCTTATTCTCTTAAGGAGTTGGTGCTGGCCACCACTGCCACCAAGGTCCTGAGTTCCCTTTCCCGGATGGACATGCTCATAACTTGGGGGGGTGGGGGGAGCGGTGAAACATCTCCCCTAATGCTTCCTCTCTTCATGCAAAGTTCTGTACAGATCAGAAAGGCAAGTACAGATCAGGAGACTGGCTGTGCAGCTCGATTCAGCGGTGTGTTCTCTCCTGGCAGGTGGCTTTGATTTGGACATCAAAGGCTGGGGTGGAGAGGATGTGCACCTTTATCGCAAGTATCTCCACAGCAACCTCATAGTGGTGCGGACGCCGGTGCGGGGACTCTTCCACCTCTGGCATGAGAAGCACTGTGTGGATGAACTGACCCCTGAGCAGTACAAGATGTGCATGCAGTCCAAGGCCATGAACGAGGCATCCCATGGGCAGCTGGGGATGCTGGTCTTCAGGCATGAGATCGAGGCTCACCTTCGCAAACAGAAACAGAAGACAAGTAGCAAAAAAACATGAACTCCCAGGGATAGATTTGGGGAGATGGTTTATTTTTTCCCTTTTGTGATTACTGAATAAGTGGCTGTGACAAGGAAAAGATTTCCATAAAGGGCAAAAAAAAGAAATCAACTGATTAGTAAAAGCGACGAGGGGGAGAGCCTCCGATTTCTCTCTGCCTGTTTGGCTTTACGCAACAGGAATTAAAATCTTTGCCTGCAAAAGTAGCCCAAATGCATCCCATGTAGTGTCTGACAAAGGCAGAATGATTGTGAGATTATAAGCCTAATGGCATGGAGGTTCTGATTGTACAGCAAAGTGAGAGCTGTTATCTTTTGTGCTCATTGAAATATTCATGAATTGAGACCAGTTTTGTAAAAAGTTCTTGGGAATGAAAGGCAAGCACATGTCTCCCCATATGAACAATTATATTGGTAGAGCTGTAGTGCCCAGGAATGCTAAAATATCAGAAGACAGGTGAGGAGACTTCGTGATACTCAAAGATACACCCATGGCGATCCTTGTGAGTATATTAAACAAAACCAAATGGACTCAAAAAGGAAAAAAAAAAAAGAAACTATTGTACCATTTCCACCCAAGATTAAACAAAAATAATGTCTTTTTTATCATAGTTTTAACCATCTCCATTTCTCAATTTTATTTAAAAATGCACTTTTTTGGCTTATGAGTTATATTCTGCTTATTTAATTACCAACTTGCAAGCCTTACTAAGAGAGCACAAGTTAGCATACATTTTTATATCTTTTAAGAAAATACTTTTAGGTATATTATGAGAACTTTTCGTTCAGATTGATCCCCATATCCAAGGACATGCCAAATGCTGATCCCGTCAGACACCGAGTGTCAGATCTTTGGTCATATGGAAGTCATGGTGTGGGGCTACTAATACATCAAGACATATAGATACTTTATCTGAAGAATATTTCCCAAGGGGAGCAACCGAACACTGGAGGGAAAGAAAGATATACTTTTTACCTTAGGAGAAAAGGAAAACTCATTCAGACTGGTAATATCTTGATTTATTCAGAAGTCAAAAAATACATTTTCTCCTCAGGAGAACTGGGGATCACTTTCTTACCTGTTTAAATAAACCAAAGTATACTGTGTGAACCAAACAATCTCTTTTCAAAGCAGGGTGCTCTTCCTGGCCGCTGGCTTTCATGAGAAGAAATGCAGACAAATGTATTTTGTGAAAGATCACTCCATCTGCCAGAGTCAAGTGAGATGTAAGACTTTGCTACATGTTCACCTACCCCCACCTAGGGAAGTAACTATTTTTTAAATGACGCAGTTCTACTGAGTCACTAAGATGCTTCTGAAAATGGCATTTTATTACAGTTTCCAACTATTTAAAAAAATAAATACAGTTAACATTGAGTGATTTCTACATTCATGTGAAAATTATTTATTAGCCAGCACCAGATGCATGAGCTAATTATCTGTGATTCCTTGCCTTCTGTTTGCCCCCAGTCAACTCATTGTTTAAAAGCTTCAGGAACATTCAAGCTGTTGGTGTGTAAAAAAAAAAAAAAAAAACAGAGAAAGAAAAAAAATGCATTATATTGATTTGTACTGGTAGTTCATAAATTTTAATCAAAACTCAGGACATGAATGTAAGGTGGCATTGGAGAGCTAATAAAATATGATTTGTGGATATGATTTCTTCTTGGAGCAAGAATGCCATGTTTTTAGTTTTGGGAAAACTTTTTACATGTGCAGAGACCAGGGTTTCTCAACCTTAGTGCTAGAGACATTCTGGGTTAGATCATTCTTTGTTGTGGGGGCTGTCCTGTGCACTGTAGGACATTTAGCAGCACCTCTGGCCTTCATCCACTAGATGCAAAGAGCATCTCTCACCTAGGCTGACAACCAAAATGTATCCAGTCATTTCCAAATGTCCCCTGGGGGACATAAAACTACACCTGGTTGAGAACCACTGGTATAGAAGGAGAGAACCATAATGAAAACTCTGGCTGTGAATACATTTTACTTGTCCTTTTTATTTTTTTTTAAAGCTTATTTATTTTGAGAGAGAGTGTGTGCACACACGTAAGTGGGGGGAGGGGCAGAGAGAGAAGGAGAGAGAGAATCCCAAGCAGGCTGCATGCTGCCAGGACTGAGCCCAATGTGGGGCTCGATCCCATGAACCATGAAATCATGACCTGAGCTGAAACCAAGAGTCGAACACTTAACCGACTGAGCCACCCAGGTGCCCCTACTTGTCCTTTTTAGTTAGAAGAAATTGAGAAATGGTTCCCAAGGTCCCTTTCTAATTGAGTTAATTTTCACATACACTGGTGATACTAGAGATTCTGGGCACGTCTGACTTTGTGGGACTGACCAGCACACTCCTCCTATATTCTTCCAGTGTCTGGAGGACGTACTTCCAATAGGCAGGCAACAGGAAGCAAATGTGATCATGGAATTAGGTCTAAGTGTCCTGCAGATGCTACAGTCCCAGGCTGTACTGTGGGCTAACTAGCCATTTGTGCTTGTTTAAATTGCATCTCACAGATGCCTGAGGCAGCGATTAAGAACTGAGTTTCAGCAATTGGTTAAGAATTGCTGAGGGTAGCTGAAGAGAAGAGGAAACAGCATAATATTGAACCATTTCTCCCTTTTTAGAACTTAGCTAAAGCAGTTTTATCAAAAAGTAGGAGCCCTCTTGGGGCATCTGGCTGGCTCAGTGGGTAGAGCATTCACCTCTTGATCTGGGGGTTGCAAGTTCAAACCCCATGTTGCAGTAGAGATTACTTAAAAATAAAAATTTAAAAAACAAACAGTATGAGCCCTCTGAAAGTGCATGTAAGAGGGGATCTTAGTTTGAGCTGCTATATCAAAAATACCTAGACTGGGTGACTTAAGCAACAAAATGATTATTTGGGTCCTAAAGGCTGAGAAATCCAGGATCAAGATCCGGTGTCTGGTGAAGACCCATCTCCCTGCATCCTCACAGGGCTGAGAGCAGAGGGCTGGCTGTCTTCTGGGCACTAATTCCATCGTGGAGCCTACCTCATGACCTAATTACCTCCCAAAGACCTCACTTCCAAATACCATCACATTAGTGCTCCTGTTATGCCCAGAATTCGTGATCCCCAAAGACCACTAGGGAGCCGAGTCCGATGCAAAAGCAAAGAGCCTTTATTCGAGCTAGCTCGAGCTCAATCCCCTACCTGCACCGACGCAGCGGTGAGATACCAGGGAAAGAGAGCGAGTTTCAAAAGGACAAAGGTTTTATTGGGGCCTGGGGGCAGTTGGTGAGGTAATGGCTATGGCCTCAGCCGATTGGCTGGGGAAGGGTCCTGGGGAAGGGTCCGAGTCCTGTTAGGCAGGTGAGTGGGGGTTACTCAAGGGGAGGAGGTGTGGTCAAGGTGAAGGACACAGAACAAGATGGAGTCGGCTGGCGTAGGCCCGCCCTTTCACTCCAACATCTGAATATTGTAGGAACACAAACATTCAGTCCATAGCAGGACCCATCCCCCTTCCCTGGACCAAGACACATACAAAAGAAGGGTTGGTGAAAGCGCCACTGAAACGTTACATTGAGGGGCTTGGAATTTAACCTCAGCAGCAAAGGAAAGCAGTAATGAACTCTGGTTTGAAAGACCCAGTCATGACATCTTCTAAAGGAAAGATACTGCCGAGGAAGCACTGAGTCTTGTGTTTAAGGTTTGTTCCAACTCTCTACATCCTCCCTCTGTTCTTACGGTATAGAAGTCACCTGGTAACTGGCCCAGCCGTCTCTCTGGAGCTGGGGTCTCTGCTACAGACCTGGGTCTTCTCTGAGCCCTGGTGTGGTGACGCAGCCTTGTGAGAAGTGCTTGTTTGCCCCACCACCACCCACTCCCCATCCCAGCCAGTTGTTAACTATTCACCAGCACACCACTGCCTCCCAGTGACATACCTGTTCTCCTTGTGCTGGCGTCCATCCAGCCGTCTACTTTGCAGCACCCCTTCTGTGTTCATAAATGTGGGCAAACTGGCTTCTCTCCACACATCAACAATGAAAGAATCAGGCCTAGGAATTTGCAACAGGTGAACAGAACCTCACACAGCCCTGCTTTGAAGATTTTGTCACCCTCAAGTAGACATCATACGCAGTTCTGAAATGTATGAAAATTGCTGCCCAGAACCTAATTTCAATAAACTTTGTTTCAGGGAAAAGCTAATGTTATCTAATCTTAGTGTTCAGTGTGGTAGTTAATACCAAGGCTTCCCCGGCCAGACTGCCTGGGCTCAAATTCTAGCTTTTTCACTTGCAACCTATATGATCTTAAGCCAGGCACTCGACATCTCTGTACCCGTTTCCTCATTCAGGACAGCGAATGCAGTCACATCTGCCGTACACATGAGGCACATAGCAGGTATTCACATTCAGCTATTATTTGATACCAGTTCTGCATTCACAACTATTATGCTTCCCAGCACGTCCATAGCACCTCTTGGGCCAATATGGGTCGCACATTAGAGATCATGAACCCATCACGTGTGCACCATTGTCCTTTTATTTCTGTTATTCTGAAAACAAGGTCTGTCTACCTGAAGAAGGATAACTAGGAATGTAAATTTTAATGGATAACTTCTTCCTTAAATTGCACACTCAGTAATTTGGAGTCAATAATTTGAAGACATTTGGGAAACAGAGGTGTTTGAGGTAGGGTGCATAGCCAGGCACCTTCTGTACAGAATGCCACTCTTCTAAGACAGGTAATATCATTTTCCGGGTGCAGAAGTGGTAATGAACTCGCTCAGAGGCCCAGACTGAAAGTGGCTGGCTTGTCAGGCTCACACATCATGGCCCCATCCTACCACCAGCTCCAGAAGGCTTGAAGGTCAGGAGACGAGGGTAGACAAGGGAGTTTGGGCTTGGGACAAGTCCAGACTCTGTGATCTTGTGCCTCAGTTTCCCACTGTTTCTCTACTCTTCAGCCCACCTGAAAAATCCCCTGACAGTGACCGAAAACAACACAGTGATCCAGAAACATGGATTGTGCCAGGCT